AGGGCTTCATACTCCACTACCCCACCCCCCCATTGACATTCGCGAGACAGAGGGCTTCATGGGAACTTTGAGGGGAGCCAGAAGTTGGAGTACCAAACACCGCTGCCAAAATCTCACGCTGAACTCTGTTCAAAACTTGAGAGCCCTGATAATCTGTGGAGTCTCAGCTTTAATCGTAAACTTGTATGTGCAGTTACGATAAATTCTGCGCCAAGTGTGTTAGCTGTTAGCTGAGATTCTTCCCGTTAATCTGGTACGACACATTAATATGTTTTTAAAAATATTAAGATGCCTTGAGACACAGTTTCGTGAAAAAACACCCCGCAGCCCCCTCCACTGGGGGCTCTCGGGCTTAACAATTGTTTAAAAGATATGGTTAGTTCTACAATACTTTATTGATTCATTGCATGCAGTTTGTTTTATATTAAAATTAGACTGTCTCTTCTCCCTGCACGTTGTTTTACCCTAAGTTGTCCACATTAAGATACTAATATGGAGTACAAAATTGAACACTGTGATACATCATTGATTTAGCGTTTGGAGTTTTCTAAATGAGGACATTAGAGGTGCAGGTTGGATGTCTGTACTCGAGGTGTGACTGAAGTATTTCTGAGTCCCTGCTGGAGATCTCAGACACATGGCGGTGTTGCAAAGCTCTGACTAACACAACTGTCATCCCCAGTTGGTTTGTGAATGTGTTTCCTCTCATGACGTCACACAGAACCAGGCCTTCCCCATTGAATCATTGATGGCACGACACACACACACACACACACACACACGCACACGCACACGCACACGCACACGCACACACACACACACACACACTCATAACCTTCTGTGTTATCGTTATCAATAGCTCCTCATCTTCGATAAAGGTCTTGATCTCAAGTGTGTAACATTTTTCATGATTTGTCTACGTTGACCTCAACAGATATTTATTCATTTATTGCATCCGTCAATTTCAATGTTTAACTTTATTTGCATTTAAAATAGATTAAAGAAAATAAAATGAATATATTATGGCTTAAAGGTGGGGTATTTAATTTATTTCAGAAAAACTTTTTGTTATATTCCATGGAATGCTCTTAACATCCCGATAGCAATGAATATATGAAATGCTTTGACAATAAATCCATAAAAAAAAATTCACCTGTGGAAGCCGTGGCGCTGTAAAAAGCAAGACCAATCATTTTAGCCGGCCCGCTAAAATGATTGGATGGCCTACCTGCCTGTCAGCTTTCCATCTGTGCACAAACTTATCTCGTGCCCTCATTGGTCATGTTCTTGTGTGTTGGAGGAGGGGCTCTGTAAGGAAGTCTGAAGGAAGTGGCAGATTTTTTCCGGTTGTGTATTTGCACTCGAGCTGGTTTCTCTAAAATTACATACCCCACCTTTAATGTATGATAGTAATACAGTTATGAAATGCACAGATCTAATCTTAATATATATAAGCTTTCATCTTTAATTTTACGAGTCAGTTATGTTCAGACCTTTCAACTCAGCATTGAAGCTGTGTCTAAACAGCCTCTAATGATGCATCTCTGTCAGAATCAGGACATCACGTTAAAATGTTCACGTGCAAAGTCAACACATGATTTGATTTGCACATTAGGGATCAACAAAAGTAAGATGACAGCCTAAAATCCTTATTAGCTTTTGCTAATCATGAGCTTCTCATTATTGGGATTTCATATCATTATTACTTCTTGCTATTGATTAACTGTTGTAAAACATTCAAGCTGTTTTCATCAGGTTACTGCTTTAAAACCAGCTCATCAAACTGTAATGCATCTCAGTTTATCATTGACCCAGTTTAGATTGTTGAAACCATAAACACGTCGCTTTGTTACAATTTTACTTCATTTTGAATTCATATTTGTGGCATAAAATGCATCCCATCTTCTGTGAATCCTTTCCCCCTGAAAGTACTGCTATGTGTTACCTGCAGTATCATTTGTGATTCTCTTGCATTTTTACCGCTAAAATGATGAATGCACAAGTTCCCACTCTTCTTATTATGCAGAGAGAAGGAGGAAGGGGCACTAATGTTGCAGAAATGGAAAAGAGAAAGAAGATGCCCTACTTTTTCAGACTTCTCATTACTTGTATATTGGCTCGGGTGTTATTTAAAGTAATATACCATGTGTAAAAAAGCTTCACCCATTCTACTTTATATCTTCTGAAATGCAGCTGTTTCTAGAGTGTCAAACGATCAATATCTGTGGTTTATTATGGTTTCAGAAGTGCATCCACTACTGTCAGATGAAATACCTTAATATTGTTTTCCTCAGTGTGCTGAAGGGAATGAAGTCTCTACAGAAACGTATTATCAGAAGTATCAAATGAACAGCAATGGATTAGAGCGGGTGTGATGACGATGAGAGCGCATATTGTTTGTTTTCTGAATACAAAATATTATTAATAGACCCCTTCAAACACAAACCTTTTTCCTAATTGGGTTGTTAAAAGCAGAGATTGTGTTACGTAACAAACAGATGTTATTAAAGTTCAACTTTTGTAAAATTCTCTTGTTTGATTCGAAGATCAATACAATCTTTCTTTAATATAAAGCCACAGCTTAGCTTAGCATGAGTTAGCCTAGCCTAAGTCTTTGCTGCTTGGCACTGCCTTTTTAATCAATTACATTTTGGACCATTTGTTGATATATTGCACCATACTGAAACTGCACTGTAATCACCTCCTCATTCATCTTTTTTATTCTTTTTGATTGTGTGTATCTTCTTTTTGCAAATATTTTTCTTAAGTTCCTCTTTATAATGCATTGTGTTTAACATGTTTAACTTCAGTCGTGGTAACATTTAAAAGTCTTTATAGTCTTAAAGGGAACGTTTTTAAGTCTTTGTGCTAAGCTAAGCTAAACCACATGTTATAGCTCCTTATTTAAAAGATGACAGTTTGATCATTCTTCTAATCCAACCCTCTGCATTAAGGCGTATACACGTGTTTCCTTTAATGTCAAACTGTGCCTTTAAACATTGTTTGAAAGTGATTTTAATAACATATTACATTTATATTATGTTCTGTTTTTGAGTTTCGTTATTTTGATTTCCAGAACGCAGCTTTGCGTGTTATTGGATAATGCTTTGGACCATCATATGTCTGTGTCCTATTATTATTTATAGCACCCTTCCTTTAATTTTCCCACAGAGCATCGGGGCGGATCAAGTCTGTGTCCGGGGGCTCTGGGGGTTACGACAGTGACAGCGTGGAGATGCATCCCATGGAGGACTGCCCCGAGGCGCAGTACTACATGCAGTGCCGGCTGGGGGAGGCGGGCTACGATCGCTCCCCGGGATGTGGGGGGGGCGGGTCGAGGAACTGGGGTCTTCGTAAACAGGCGATCCAGAACTGGCAGCGGCGACCTTACAGGAACAGCACCGAGGGAGATGAGGGGGACATGTCGGACGTGGGCTCTCGGACCACTGAGTCTGAAATGGAGATGTGGGAACAAGACAGGAGAGCTGTGGCTGAAGTGCAGCAGTCGTCCCCCCCCGCCTATTCTCACCACAGTCGGACAGCGTATCGCTCCAACACAGGTAACACACGTGTTATTCTTAGAAGTGTACACACTGACACTCTCTTTCTAAACTTACATCCGGACACATGGGAGCCAGGATTTCACAGAATAAAGGCTCTGTAAAGGATTCCCATGAGAGCAGGGACTGATTTGGATCTAGGTCAGGTTGAGTCGCAGTCAGGCTGCTGGAGCTGTGTCACTGACCAACGCTCCTTCTACAAAGTTTGGATCAGACATGAGCTATATGGTAATCATGGAGGAAAGAGGCCCTGCATCTGCTCCAGTGTGTAGACACAACAATGTAAACATTTAATGAAAAGACTCTGAGCTTTCACAAACACTGCAACAAATGTTTTTTGCAGAGTATGTTTTTCCAATTCACGAGTCTTAGGATGTGGCAGTCGTTGATACCCTTTTCCCTAGTTTATTTGAGCTGAATGTCACCTGAGTTGATTGAAGGGTTATTCAGATCACCTGTAGCTCCTAATTAAGAACTGATAACAGCTTGGTGCATTCCCCATGTCGGCCAATCAGAGTGTGAGGTGGAGAATTCAACTGTGATCGCATTTTGATCCTTCCTTTACCAAATGCAAACCACCTATTTTCCAATCAAAATATGTGTTTAGTTATTATTAAAGAGGCGTGTTTTTATCATTAAAAATACTAATGTATTATAATTAAAGAGACATTTGTTAGTCATCAAATAGTTATTTATTGTAATTGAATAGAAATGTTTCAAAATCTAATCAAATCAAATGTATTTATATAGCCCAATGACTCAAATTACACATCCGTCCTAAGAACCTAGCATCGTTCATTATTATTGAGTAGGTATTTTTAACTGTGAAGACACTGAGTGAGAATTTTTTCTCCAAGTAAACTGAGTATTTCTTTTTGTGTTATTTAACATGTCGTTTGCTTGTGCCACAAACCTGAAACCCATAGAACAACTGTATTAGAGAGCTATCAAGGGTTTTGACGGAAAGCCAAAATCATACCACCACTGTACCATCCTTGAAAAACCCAATTTCTTGAGTTTTGACCATTTTAATTCTTTTAAAAGTAAGCGTTTTTTTATAAATGTTTATATGGACTGGCCCCCTCCCTTAGGGGAATTCATCCAGAAAAAAAAAAACAGGATGCTGCACTAGGTCAGAAACCAGAGGAGAATGTGGAGTCCACCGTAAACGGACCACTTTTGGACAAAATGTCCTCTCCATTAAACGCAGCTCATTGTGGAATAGCCTCCCAACTGAGATACGGGATTGTCCCATTCTCAATAGCTTCAAAGGTCAACTCAAAGAATGGATGAGAAACAAAAAGGACGTGCAATCACCACTAAATGCACTTTATGCATCTCTTGTATAATCTTTTGCACTTCATATGTCGTTGCTGCTATAGTGTACTGCCATGTGGTAAATACTTGTGTGTGCTGCTCTTGCTCTTTTGCATAACATGTATTTAGTTTTTGCTATGTTTACAAATGTCATGTTCTTATATGTTGTATGTCAGGGATTATGGTGGAAATTAGCTCAAAGCTAAAATCCAGCATATTTACACTTGAAGCATTATTTGTCTAAAGTGTCCATTAAAGGTGGGGTAGGTAATTTTGAAGAAACCAGCTCGTGTGCGCTAGAATTTGAAAATACACAACCGGAAAAAATCTGCCACTTCCTTATAGAGCCCCTCCTCCAACACACACAAACGCGCACATGACCAATGAGGGCACAAGATAAGTTTGTGCACAGATGGAAGGCTGACAGGCAGGTAGGCCATCCAGTTATTTTAGCCGGGCCGGCTAAAATGACTGGTCGTGCTTTTTACAGTGCTTCGGCTTCCACAGATGATATTTTTTGATGTATTTATTGTCAAAGCATTTCATATATTCATTGCTATCGGGATGTTAAGAGCATTCCATGGAATATAACAAAAAGTGTTTCTGAAGTGAATTACCTACCCCACCTTTAATGTGCATTGTCCCTATTCAAATAAACGATTAAATGAAAAAAAAATGAAATGTCCAGCATTGCTTGGAATCAATTACAAGTTGCTACTAAATAAAACCAAAGGGAATATATTTAATTAAAAAAAACTCAGTATAGGGAGTATTAATCCTGCTAATTGGCATGTAACCTAATAGGATCCATCTTGACTTAAGTACTTACAATTTGATTTAACCAGCTGAAATCCTTTTTTCATGAGGTGTTAACACTATTTGGTTTAACACAAGTATGAGCGCTGTTTGCTTGTGCACATTTCTTCTGATCCAGCACAGATTGTGCTTCTCTCTGTTAACTTCCGGCGCTGCCAAGCTCCTTGAACTCACTGCTGCTGCCCTCCATTTTTACTCACCTGCTGTCGGGCTTACTCTAAATACTAGGTTAACCGAGGCAGTCTGGGAAAATGGGCCAGAGCCCTATTACAAACTGGGATGCACTGCTATGACTGACTGCCCCATTAACTCAAAGGTTTTCTCACGAAACACTCAACATGTTTCTGGCATTCCTTCTCTCTGACGTAGATCTCCTTATCGGGAGAGTCCCTGCCAGGTTGTATCAGATGGTGTGTATCGACAAGCACACAGTTTCTTCTCAGCATGAAACACACAGCTCGGCTTTTTTAGTGCATTTGGCAGTCTTGAGCGTAGGTGGTGTGTGTGTGAGAGAGAAAGAAAGACAGAGTGAGAGTGTAAGGAATGGTTCATAGCCCTGATGGTTTCTTCCAAGGCCAAAGATGAAATGAGTCATCTAGGAGCAATCTTGCTGGGAGGAATACGACGAGCTCGGATTGGACACGCTGTATCAGCCAATAGATAGTAATAGAGAGAATGAAAAGATGGAAAGGAGAAGAGGAATTATGTAATCTCATTTAGCGGTTTGTTGAAGGTTGGCGCCACCGTGTGACAGAATATCTTTTGAACATTTGTATGTGACATTCATTTGTTATAAAGGAAATTGGTCGACTGTAATAGGATTAAGATAATTCGATCCTTTTTCTAAATGTGCATTTTTGTGCATTTAGCACTTTGAGCACCAGGAAAAGCGCTATATAAATAACATGTATTATTATTATTATTATAATTATTATTATTTACATAATTAGATCATCCTGATTATAACCAAGTTTATTTGAGTTGCAATTGGTTTGTTTCGCAGTGCTTTACAAAAAAATATCAAAAAGTAAAGAAAAAATTATACAGCAACAATAATATGAGGAACATTCCAATAAATGATAACCTTAAAAAAAAAGAAGGTATTTCCCTTCCTTCAAAGACATCTTATAGAAATTGAACAAAAAACTAAAACATTTAATACATCTTGAGAAACTTTTGAATTCAAGTCTAATGATGATAAAGGATTTGTATATATATATATTTCTGTCTTTTTCTCCCCACAGGTCGGTCCGATGGGGTCTACAACAAGCCTTGCCGCCATGAAAAGAGCCCGTCCAAATCCAACGAGGTGATCAGTCCAGAGATCCTGAAGATGCGTGCAGCTCTCTTCTGCATCTTCACCTACCTGGACACTAAGACCCTGCTGAGAGCTGCGGAGGTCTGCAGAGACTGGAAGTTTGTGGCCCGGCACCCGGCCGTGTGGACCAGAGTGCTGCTGGAGAACGCCCGCATCTCTTCCAAGGTGCATAGTGAATATATAGATACTGTGTCCAGTCTATCAGTAGCTTTATCAAAGCAGCACCATGATTATAGCTTTACTGTTTTAGCTGTGCCTTGTAAAGATTTATTGACTGATCTTCATGTTTCTGCTTCAGTTTCTGAGCACAATGTCTCAGTGGTGTACTCAGACGCACTCCCTCATCCTGCAAAACCTCAAACCAAGACAGCGAGGCAAGAAGGAAACCAAGGAGGAATACCTCAAAAGCACACGGTGAGACACAGAAAGCACACGGTGAGACACAGAAATACACAGGAAGTGACATCTGCTCACACTTTACAATAGAATACCAAGTCACTGTGGGGGACTTATTACTACATTCAGTTTTATTTTAGCTTTGAGAAGCACATTCATGGATAACTATTGAAGTAAGTGACTTACTCAATGACTCCTCAAACAATGATTGATGAGAGAAAGACACCAAGAGGAACATGAGTGATTAAATGCTGATGTTCTTGGGCTGGTTGATGAGGATAAGCATGTCAAAAAAGATTGCATTTCCTGAAAGAAGACAGGAAGACATTTGATATGAGTGGCTAACTGTTTTGTGTGAATGTATTACAGCTTAAATCTTCCTGCTTATATTCCATCACACACTGGAGGAATATTTTATCTTGTGCTATAAATGGTAAAAGTGCTGTTCTGAAGGCCAGGAGAATTACTCTCGCTGATCTGTCTCTGTCTGTCTTTTTCTGTTGACCTTCCCCCACGTTTCCATATAAGTGGCTGTCTGGAGGAAGGTCTGGAGGCGTTGTTAAAGGCCACAGGAAGTAACCTTCTGATACTGAAGATTTCACACTGCCCCAACCTGCTGACCGACCGCTCCCTCTGGCTGGCCAGCTGCTACTGCCGGGCCCTGCAGGCGGTGACCTACAGGTAACCAGGACGACCAGGTCCCCCCCGCACACATATCACAGTGGTGCCTGAGTTACTTTAACAAGTCCATGAGTTTTGACTAAGGTTTGTGCTGTACAGATAAAGTGTCATATATATGCAAAACAAACACAAACTTTGGTCACATATTTTGCTCCAGAAGTGCTACGGATCCAGTTGGCCAGGAGGTGATCTGGGCTCTTGGAGCAGGTTGCAGAGACATCATCTCCCTACAGGTGGCGCCACTACACCCATGGTAATTAACAGAGCAAAACAATCTACCTCTTATGATCAATACAGATACGTTCTACACTAAACAAAAATATAAACGCAACACTTTTGTTTTTGCTCCCATTTTTCATGAGATGAACTCAAAGATCTAAAACATTTTCTACATACACAAAATAACCATTTCTCTCAAATATTGTTCACAAATCTGAAAAGATCTGTGATAGTGAGCACTTCTCCTTTGCCGAGATAATCCATCCCACCTCACAGGTGTGGCATATCAAGATGCTGATTAGACAGCATGATTATTGCACAGGTGTGCCTTAGGCTGGCCACAATAAAAGGCCACTCTGAAACGTGCATTTTTGCTTTATTGGGGGGGTCTGGGGGGTCCGAAAACCAGTCAGTATCTGGTGTGAGGGTTAGGGTTAGGATAATGTTGTGAATCGAGTGGCCCGTGGTGGTGGTGGGGTTATGGTATGGGCAGGCGTATGTTACGGAGGTCAACAATTACCTCAATATGATTATGATTTATATGATGTTAGTTATATATATATAGACCTAAGTAAAGAAGAGGTGACCCCACACTTCGACTATCAGCGTTTCGTTCTGGGGAAGTTGTGTGTATATGTTTATTTATCTTTTGTAGAATTTATTGATTGTGATGGTCATTGTCTTAATAAAAATATCCTCCTTGTTAGGGAAGATATGATAAAAGACTCTCAACAATAAAAGAAATGATAGTGCTGATTCAACTTTCAATTGACAAACAAATGATGTCTCTCTGTTGGTGAAGTTCTTAAAAAAACTACATAAAAAAAATTAACCTCGCCCCACGAGTGGGCTAATTCTGAAAAAAAACCTATTAAGAAAATGAAATTAAGGGTACTGTTAAGACCGAAGCTAACCGTGTATCGGAAAGTTAATGTTACTGTTACACTAAGTACTTAATATTTGTTCAACTTTGTTCAGTTTAGTATAAATGCATCGCTCCGGTCGGGATTACGGTGTAGTCGGCGGGTGTCGCTCTCGAGGCTCCAACGCCAGGTTGTAGACGGTTAGCGACGTCCGTCGCCAATGAGCTTTGCGCGCCCTAAACGACCGATGTTCTTTTTATGTATACTATCAGCAGGTACAAGTCGAGTAAATTTTTATGAATTACAGTAAGTAATTGATGTGACTTGTTTTTATATTTTGCGTGTGAAAACAAAAACGAGGGTAAAAAGTTTCTAGATTTTGTATATATGTGTTTTATATTGGTAAGAGAGTTTATAACGAGTGTTTAGACTTTTTTAGACACTATCACTCGTAAGAGGAGAACGGCTTATATTAGGTAGGTTGGAGTGTCCACACCGTATTTAGTTCTACGCTAATCTGTTCGTACTAATAACGTGTCAACCACGAATCCGCCCGGTGTTATTTTCTGGTGAGACTTGTGTACCGTAAAACGAAATAACCCCCCCAGACCCGTCCAGGGCTTTTTGGTCAGTCATAGACCCACCACTCCAAATCCTAATCCAATCCCAATCCCAGTAAACACCTAGCTCACGGACACANCATGGGATGGTAGACTAAACGCTTTAGGAATCCAAACTACAACATATAATAATTACCCTGTACCAAGAATGATGCAAAACAAGTGAAATTTGACCTTTTAAAAAGGTCAAATTTCACTTGTTTTGCATCATTCTTGGTACAGGGTAATTATTATATGTTGTAGTTTGGATTCCTAAAGCGTTTAGTCTACCATCCCATGATTCAAGGGTGGTTTTCACTATAAGTAATTTTTTTTTTTGGACGGACACTATCATTTACATTTTTTTATTATATTCAATCTAGATTTACTTTAAAATAAAAACATCTATATTGATTCTGACACTTCTACATCCAAATCACAGATGTAACCTTGCTTTGATAAAAAAGATTATTAATTTAACCCTTTTAGAAGGGAAGATATATGGTCATTTGTTCTGGGAATGTCATTTTGGAGCCTGAGATCTGAAAAACAGGCTCAGGGCTTAATAGTTTAAAACTCTCATTAAAAAGCAACAAAGGCCTCAGAGTTACATCTTCTATTTGCTTGTTCAGTCCACCCATCAGCCCATGAACAAGGTGTTCAAGATACAACAATGATACAAACTTTGGAGGAGGCGGGACCAAACATTATGGACACTTTTTTTGTGTGAATCAACTCCTAAAATACTAAATGTATTAATGTAAAACTCATTTGATCATTTCACTTTAAAGAGGAGCCACACTGTGAACCTTCGGAGCACACTCAATGGTGTATCTATGTTACAGAAACCTAATATTTGATTATGTAAAATAGTATAATCTCTGTATTTTAAATGTATTTTAAAGTCAAGCAAGTAGTAACAATGGCACTTCCACATTACATTACATTACACGTTACTTTTATCCAAAGCGACTTACATACTCAATACTGTGGGCAATCCCCACAGGAGCACTTTGGGGTGAAGTGTCTTGCCCAGGGACACAACGACATGCTGACTGCAGTGGGGTTTGAACCTGTTTGAACCCTGATCCGAACACCAACGCACAACCCCCTGCACCACACGCCTCCCTAGTTCCACAGTGTTCATAGTTTTTTTTATGTACTGTGACTGCAAATGCCATGCTTGCAAACATTTCTACACACAGGGCGAAGTTCTTCACCGAAGGCCAGAGGCAGCGAGCACAGTGGATGTTCTTTAAAAGCTCTGCAGCTCCAGGGGTTCTGTTATATTTCCACACAACTGACAGACTGTTTTTCACTGCAGCAGCTCTCCGAGGTAAGAAAGAGGAGGCGCACCAAACCTAATTGTCAGCCGAGAGCCACAAAATCTCCAGCTGGACAAGAAAACCTGCTTTTCCCCCGTGTCTACTTCTAGCAATCCAAACAGAATGATAGACAAACAGGAAGTCTTCCTTTCCTTGTAAGGGTCTACATTATCGTACCATCAAACCTCCTAATAGCAGCGGTGTGAATTTGTTACATTTCAGAGAGGTGAAATCATGTGTTTCTGTAGAATATGCTCACTTACCCCGTGCTCGGAGACGAGCGTCGCTCCGACACTTGGTACATGCCTCTTGTGCTTCCAGAGTTACTTGAGTTTCTCTGGAGAGACAAAAAGATGGACGAAAAAGAGTGATTTTAGTCAAATAAAACAGCTTCGCTAAGCTTTCCAAGGCATGCTCTTGGCTCAAATGCATTCCTCATAGGTATTCCTAAGAAAGCGTTTTGTTTTGACTCAACCTACGTGAGAATTTCAGAGAATTTTAATTGGCATAGTTCATGCCATATAAAGTCTAACGCATTTCTAAAATATAATTAAAACAATACACTTAAAACTAAAGCAAGAGATAAACAGCATTTCATATTAACTCCTACTGAGTTAGCTTTGCTAAAATAATAAATGCTGCTTAACACATTCTCACTGAAATAAATGAAAACAGTAAATAAAAACTAAGAGGATCCTATTATGCTGTAATCATGGGGCACTTCTGTACATTTGACAGCTTAGATATTTAACAAATAATCACAGCTGATATAAACAGCGCAAGCGTACTTCACATTACAGACATTACAACATTGCAGTTTGATCTCACTTCAGTACTTTACAACTGAAGAGTGACAGCATCAGACACAAATCAAAGACATGAATAGACAAACTATTTCCCAACAGGAATTATTGATGATCAGTCACGGAGGAAAAGTTAGGGAAGAAGAAGTGTATCGAGATTGTTGTGATCATTTCTCTCCTGAGGGTGGCAAAAAACAAAAGCTCATCAAATGAACATAAAAAAGAAAGGGATCATTCTCTGAGGGGGCATTAGTGTAATGAGGAAATATCATATCTATTTTATACCTCTCTTTTAGAAAGCTCAGTGGGACGAGGAGTCCTCACAGCAAATGTCATAGAAATCCGGTGTTGATGCTAAACTCAAAACAAAATAAATCATAATTGTGTTCCGTGAATAACTTTTAGAAATGTCATAGAAACCCTGTCATTCCACATCAATATCTTGAGTCCAAAACTGAAATCTTTTTCCTGAAGGTGGCAGTACAGGAAGGGATTTTTGTGAAAGCCTTTTTTCAAATTTTGAGGCGACAGGCGGTCACACAAATCATTTGGAATCCTCAACTCGGGATTATGAATATCCTCAAGAAACTTCCTGGCAGTCTGACTCTAGTAGTAGTAGTAGTAGTAGTTGTTGTGGCAGAAGTAGTACTCCAGGGTTGTTGCTTTTTACCAAAATATTAAAATTACAGATTCACTGACCGTTAAACCCTCACAGTAGCAACACAAAAACCTTCAGCATCCTACAACCTCAAATATTTGGTTGCATCTCTGAAAGCAGGTGGAAATGTTGTATTTGATTGTGGGTGTAAAGCCTGACTCTTGCCTGAGAGCAAAATCCTCCTAGTGACTAATTCATACACCATTTAAAGCTGCCTGTGCATTGAAGTGTAGTGTGTTTACTTGTGTGTGTGAAGTAATGCCAGGTGGAACCAGACTGGGGACGTGCCACAGAGGGAAAATGTGCACAAACCCTGTCACTCCCTCCCTCTCTCTCCCTGTCTCTGTTCCTCTGCTTCTACTCGCACAGCCTGAACCTGGCCAAGTGCCACTGAAAAGGGTCCATCGAGGAAACAGGCAAACACTGTCTCATGGCCAAGAAGCCTGCAGTACAGGCAGAATATGAACAAATCTTCCAGATATAGATGGAAACAAATACATTCTAAAGACGGTAAAACTGTAATCTGGCAACCCAAGCTTGTCTCAAACTCACATCTTTTTCTATTTCTTGGATCTTGTTATCTTCTTTGTTAAAAGTCCTCAACTTCATGAACACTTTTTTCACCTTGGACCTTTTGAAAATAAATCTAGCGAGATTCTTTAGGTCTGTAACATAAAGCCAATGTGATCTAATGGCCAGCCCCCAGCTGCAAAAAATAAGTGATTTTATAAAAGGCTATGAGGAAATTACCATGCTTCTTTCTTTATTAACAACCCCAGTAAACATTTTTCAAATAAGTGTATGGTTTCAATCACTAGTTTTAAGTCTTGATCAAACCAGCATGATGTCCATTTTGTGAAAACAGTCTAATTTGGAGTAAAATAAACTATAAAGCAACATATGGTTATGAAGGGGCTACTCTGTAAAATGAAATCTCGCTGCTACAGTGTGTTTTCAGTCCATGAAAGTTAATTGTAACATTTTGGTTGCCTAAAATGTTCTTGTTCAGCATTGGATGTATTTGCTGCACCCTTTCGTGTCCCTTCTCATCCCTTCTGTATCTCATCCCAAAAAGAAAAGAAAAATGTTGTCGGCCAATACGACGGACCCTAGGCTTCTGAACAGTAGTCCAAAACAATGATGGTTGACATGACGTTTACTTGGTTTACTTCTCATATACAATCTATGGAATAAATGCACAAGAATGCACTTTAGCTGAACTAGAGAGTGAGCAGGAAACAAGACATCCATCTCTTCATCTACTGTCAGTCCTAAAATACCTCTGTGCCTTTAAAAACCTGTCTCCTAGGAGAACTTGATGATGTTGTGACAGAGAGACGGAGAGTGAGGTGGCGAGGGTCGGGGGGGTTACATCTCCAGGCCTCCCTCAGCAGGGCAGCAAGATGCCAACCAGTCTGTGACTCCACACTTGTACTTGTCATGTTGATTATTCACAGTCCTACAAGAACTGGCTGATGTTCAACTCCAGAGAGGAGGAAGTCTAAATCTAGGCAGCAGCGTTTTGGGTCAATCCCAGGTCAAATGACTGAGAAAAAAGTAGATTTTATTATTAATGCTATTTCTGATTTCAGATATCTTAAAATGGGTTGATTACATCGTTATAAAGAGGTTTCACCAACACTATTCCCTGCACTGTGTGAGGAGATAAAGTTATGTCGACAATATCTCTGCACTCATAGTGATCTGAGAAGACATTTACTGAGCATCTCAAATATTAAGCCAAAAGGAAACCAGCCAGTTCCTCTCAGGCAGATCTGTAGCACATTATATCTGATTCAAATTCACGTTGTAGCCTCAAACACGAGCAAGAGCAAGAACTGGTTTCCATGGCAGCACACCGATTTGTGAAATGAAACGGGTCAACCTTTTTTCAAGGGATGTTGGATAATCATTTTTGAATAAGTGACATCTTTAGGAACAGAAAGTGTCTGCTTTTCCATTTTTATTAAAGTGTTATAGTGCAAAAGAAGGGGGGGGGG